TTTCTTCCTCACCATTATGACTCTAACCCTCTAAATTATAAGCTCAAACTCTTATTTTATAAGTTGCCTTGTTCACAGTGTCTTATCGCAGCAACAGCAAAGTAATTAATACAGAAGTTGGTACCAGAGAGTTGGCTGTTTCTGTGAAGAACCTAGACCGTGTGGGTTTTTGGAAGAATGTGGAAGACTTTGGAAGTTTGGGCTAGAAAAGCAATTGATTGCTGCAAACACAGCTTAAGAGGCCATTTTAGTAGGTGCCTGGAAGAAAAGTAGTGCTGAGAACAATGTAGTTCCAGTGGGGAAATGAGGACTTAAGCAGCAATTGGGATGTTTTGGCAGAGTGTCTGGCTGAAGTTTGCCCACAGCCAAAAAAGCTTGCCTGAGGCTAAGTTGAAAGGCAATGAACTAATTTCTTTGGCAGAGGATATTTCAAGGTAGTCTAACATAGATGGTTGTGTGCCTTTAATGATGAATATTATGCAGCTCTACAGTGAAAAGGAGTAAATGGGGAAGAAAGAAATACAGAATGTACAGTTTGAATTGAAAAAGAACAATAGTAAGATTAATGTTGGAGCCAAAGCATGTGCTTAAGGAGAGGATCCCCTTGATAAGGAGATTAAAGCAATTAGGGAGAGGCCTAAAGATTTGTACTTAAACAATGGAGAGAGTGCCTCCAGGGCAAGGCCACACCCAGCTAAGTCCCCAATTTGTGAAAGGTGGATTAAACAGGCCAGGGTCCATCTCAAACTTGCAGCCAAACTTAGCAATGCTGTTCACCTGGTGCTGGCTTTAAAGGCATGAAAGATGCAAGAGTGAAGTCATCAGTTCTTCCTCTGAGGTTTCAGAGAGCAACCAAGGCCAGGCAGCATGCAGCAGGGGTGTCTCTGCATAAAGAAGGTCCTGATATGGCATTGCATGAAGCTCTGAAGGTGAAGCCTGGTTGGCAGTGGAGACCCCAATAGGACTTCTGTGATGCCAGAGCTGTGAGACATCTGCCAAGGAGAGCTGCAAACTGGTTAGTGGTACCAGTCCAAGAGAGAGACATATGTTTCACACAGCAAAGCTGTAGAGGCTGAGCCATCTAAGCCCTTTGGAAGTAAAGTCCCAGAATTGGATGTGGAGCTACTGGATTTGGTGTTTTGTGATAGTCTAAGCTCCTCCACTTTGTGTAAGACCACCAATTTTTTTTTTTTTTTCCTGTCTTTTTGAGACAAGGTCTCCCTGCAGTGCCAGATGGCCTGGAACTCACTATACAGACCAGGCTGGTCTTGAACTCACAGAGATCTGCCTGCCTCTGCTGGGATTAAAGGCATGTACCACCACGCCCAAGTAAGACCACCATCTTGGAGATCTGTCCCAGACCCTACCCTGGCCTGGGACCAGCAGTAGGAAGAGCTAACCTCAGAGGAACACACCCATATAATCCCAGTAGGGCTCCAGTTAAGACTTATCTGGCTTCTGTAACTGCTTGCTTGCCCACCTACAGGAACAAATGTGACACTCCTTTTTGAGTAACTACTCATCAAGATGTGGATTTTGCCTTTAAAAGCTTTACTTTCCTCTGAGCAAGTGCTTCATTCTCTAAATCCCAGCCTAGAGAACGTAGTCACCGGCAAGCTAAATAAAACTGGGCTAATTTGGAACATATGGAGTGGTCCTTCCCAGGAGCTTTGGCACTGTTACAGTTTGCCCTGCAGGTTTTCAGTCTTGTTTTGGTCTGGTATTTCCTCACTATGCCTTTATTCCTCCCTTTTGGAATGGGAATGTGTATTCAGTTCCACTGCATGTTGGGAGTATGTAATTTGTCTTTTGATTTTTATAGGAGCTTACAGTTAAGACCTTGCCCTGAGTCTCAGAAGAAACTTTGGACTGTGGAGTTTTGAATAGTATTGAGACTGGTAAAGACTATGGGGACTTTTAAGATTGAACTAAATGCGCTTTGAATTTTATATGGGCATGAGCCTATTGGGGCCAGGGAGTAGAATGTGGTGGTTTGAATGAGAATGTCCCCCATAGGCTCCAAGTATTTTGGCATTTTGTTCCCAGTTGGTGGTGCTGTTTTGGGAGGTCTGAGAAGGTGTGACCATGCTGGAGGAAGCACGTCACTGGGAGCAGGCTTACAGAGTTCTTAAGCCTTGCCAGATCTCCAGTTCTCTCTGCTTCCTGTGCCTGCTTGAAGATGTGAAGATGTAAGCACTTTGCTTCTGCTCCTCCTCCAGCCACCTCTGCTGCCTTGCCTCCCCGCCATGATGGACTCTTGCCCCTTTGGAACTGTAAGCTAAATAAACTCTTCCTTTTATAAGTTCCCTTGGTCATGGTGTTTCCATCTCAGCAACAGAAAAGTAACTAATACAGTGAGACACCCCCAACTACACACAAAAAAGGGAGAGAAGGAGAAGGGAGAGATGGGTGGAACAGGAAAGAACTTGCAATAGAGCTGATTTTAGCCACACTGACCCCCCCTTGCTGTTGCTAGCACATATCTCTCCTTAGCTTAGGCTGCAATGCTCTTGCCCTGGCCAACAACACAACTCCCTCCATTTTATCTTCAGAACCTTGTCCAGATGCCATTTTTTAAAGTCTTCTCTAATCACTTTTTAAAAATTGCATCCCTTACTCCCTTTATTTTTCCCACTGTTCTATTATCAACTAGCATCTGATTTATTATATTACTTGTAGGATTTTAAGTTTTTTACTTTTTATTTTTAATTTCTGTGTATGTATGTTTTGCCTGCATCTAAGTGAAGTGCACCTGTACTGTGCAATGTCTGTGGAAGCCAGAAGAGGGTGTCAAGATCCCCTGGAACTGGAGTTACAGACGGCTGTTTTCAGCCATGACGGTGCTAGGACCAGAACTTGGGTTTTCTGCAAGAGCAGTCAGTACTCTGAACCGCTGACACATCTCTCCGGTCTCTTACAATAGGAGCTTTACAGTCTCTCAGCAGGATCTTTAAAGCTCTGACTGAAATGCAAGCTGCAAAAGGCAGGGATTTTCACCTAGTTTTTTGCTCTCTCCTGTGAGCTCACTGTTCTACTATCTCACACAGAAAGCTCTTAATAAAAGAACCTCATGAAAGAATGAAATGATGTATTTTAAGACCACTGGGAAAGAGCAAGACTAGGGACCTAGTTGTAAAAGATATAACAAGTTTCTCAAGGCTACTAAAACAAACTAATGAAGACAGTATGACAAATCAAAAGATATTCAATTACCTAAGAAACTGACATTGTCATTTAATTCATTTGCCAAATCCAAGGTCAAATTCTGATGCTATACTGTAAAGGAGGAAATCATTTTGAAAGCAAAGCTGCACATTACTCTCCATGAAAAAGTGCCATGTCCAGAAGGAGCTGATAAGTATCATTACAATCAGTATGTCTAAGGACTGCTCTTGGCCCAAGTTCTTTGACTAGGAGTCTGACTAGAAGTTGGACAGTGAGCAATGGGTACCCTAAGTAAGGTGAACACAAGGGCCAGGTTTCAGACTTCACTAGCTGCAGGATGAGGTACTCAAAAAAAAGATGAACTTCGAAGTCTGAGAGACTTCATTTCAAATCCCAGCTCTTTACATACTAGCTTTCTACACTTATAATAGAATGTATACTACCAAGTGAGGTCTCCCAGTCTCAGAAAGAAAAAAAATTGCATGTTTTCCCTCATATGCAGATCCTAGCCTATAATGTATACATGTATATGTGGACACAAATACATTTGTGGGTATAATATTCAGAACTGAGAACAAGAAAGGGCAATTTGAAAAGTAACATAGTTTTTGTCTTTTTTTTCCATGGATGTGTATATTCAACTTTCTGCGTACTGAAGTAGCAGGAATCATTTCTGCATTCCCTAAGAGTCCAATAAGTGTTGTCCCTTTCCAACATTGATTGGGAAAATTGGGTTTCCTTTTTGATTCCATTGACCATTAGTGCAGTAAGAGTTGGTTGTGACTGGACACTGAATGTGTATTTCACATTGATTCACTTAGAAAAAGTGATTCATTGTTGTTTGCTGCAGTTTTGTGCTTGGATGCTTTTATGAGTTGTCACTGTCAAAAATTCTTAAATAAAACTGATGTAAATTAAAGAAAAAAAACTTTCGGCATATTACATTACCAAAGAAGCTGCTGGCAGGATGTGGCAGCCCATGCCTTTATTTCCAGCCTCGGGAGGCAAAGGCAGGAGGATCTCTGTGAATTCAAGGCCAGCCTGGTCTACATACGGAGTTCCAGGCCAGTTGAAGCTACAGGGAGACCCTGTCTCAAAAAGACAAAAACAAAACAAAACAAAAAACAGCTAGAGAGATGGCTTAGTGGTTAAGAACACAGGCTGTTCTTACAGAAAACCCAGGTTTGAATCCCAGCACCCACATGGCATCTAACAACTGTAACTTCAGCTCAAGGGGATCTGACAAGTCTCTTCTGTCCTCTGCAGGCATTGCATGACACAGGTGCACTTACCTACATGCAGGCAACACACTCATACACATAAAATAAAAAAATAATTTTTTTTTTTAAAAAGGGAGGGAGCTAGACAGACGGCTCAGCGATTAAGAATACTGGTTGTTCTTGCAGAAGACCCAGGTTTGAATCCCAGCACCCACATGGCAGCTAACAACTGTCTGTAACTCCAGTTCCAGGGGATCCGACAGCCTCTTTTGTCCTCCTCAGGCATTGCACAACATGGGTGCACTTAGCTACATGCAGGCAATAAATGCATACACATAAAATAAAAATACTAAAATAAAAAGAAGCTACCCTGAAGGGCTGTTTGTAAGGATTAAATGAAACAGTTTGTGCAAGACTGTATGAAAGTGCCCAGAATACTATTAACTTCCCTTCTTGAATATCAACTAATTTTTCCTATACCATCTGGAATGTAGGCTGGAAATTTTCTGAATTCTCTCCCAAAATGCCTTTCCTGGGATGGCAGGATGGTTCAGTGGGTGAGGAAACTTGCCACCAAGCCTGATGTCCTGAGTTCAAAACCCACATGGTAGAAGAATCAACTCCTGAGAGTTGTTCTCTGACCTATACCAAACACACACAAGAGACACACAGACACACACACAGAGCAAATAAATAAGTGTTATAAAGTTTACTTTAAATATAATAAAATAGGGGGCTGGAGAGGTGGCTCAGGGGTTAGGAGCACTTGCTGTTCTTCCAAAGGACCTGAGTTCAATTCCCAGTAGCAACATGGCAACTCTGTCTCTCTCTTCCGGCCTTTGTGGACACTACACACATAACAGTATACATAAAGGCAAGCAAAATACTTCTACAAATAAAAATAAATAAATCATTTTAAAAATAATAATAAAATGGGAATGGAGAGATGGCTTAGTGACTAAGAGCACTTGCTGCTCTTGCAACAACTATGGCAGCACCCAACTGCCTATAACTCCAGTTCCAAGGGATCCAACACTCTCTTCTGGCCTCTGCAGCACTGCATGCAAGTGGTTGCTTACAGACATGCAAGCAAACACTCATACATGTAAAATAAAAAGTGTAAGTAAACTGTTTTAAAAATCAATTAATTTTTTAAATAATAAAACAAAATGCCTTCCCCACTGGTTACTCAGGAATTACCTCCTAGAGTTTTTTTTCTTTTTTTTGTGTGTGTGTGTCTTTTTTGAGACAGGGTCCCCTTGTAGCCCCAGCTGTCCTGGCACTCACTATGTAGACCAGGCTGGCCTCAAATTCACAGATCTGCCTGCCTCTGCCTCCCAAGTGCTGGGATTAACGACGTGCACCACCATGCCTGGCCCTCCTAGAGTTTTTAACATTTCATGTTATTTAACAGGAGTGCAGTGTTCAAAGAGCTACTTTACATAAATAATTAAAATTATTCATGCTAGAACTTAAAATTTAGAAATTGCAAAAAGATATGGATATTTTAAAATGTAATGAGTAACAATTTCAAATTCTATCAATGAAATATCTACAAAAAAATCTTCTAAGTCTTAGTCAATGACTAACTTTTTGCATATTAGACTAAATGACTACTAC